ACGGCCGCCCGCCCTAGGCCCTGACGGCCGCCCGCCCTAGCGCCCTGACGGCCGTCCGCCCTAGCGCCCGAGCGCCCAACCGCCCTAGCGCCCTGACGGCCGCCGCCCTTAGCGCCTGACGCCGCCCGCCCCAGCGCCCTGCGCCGCCCGCCCTAGCGCCCAGAGCGCCCGCCCGCCCCTAGCGCCCGAGCGCCGCCCGCCCTAGGCCCGAGCGCCACCCCGCCCTAGAGCCCTGACGCCCGCCCGCCCTAGCGCTCGAGCGCCGCTCGCCCTAGCCGCCTGACGGCCGCCCGCCCTAGCGCCCGTGCGCCACTCGCCCGAGCGCCCACATGACGGCCGGCCGCCCGCCCTAGCGCCCGAGCGCCGCCCGCCCTTTCACCCTTACGGCCGCCCGCCCGAACGCCTGAGCGCCGCCCGCCGTCGCCCCAACGCCCTAGCGCCCGACGCCCGCAGCCGCCCGTCGCAGCCGCCCGTGAGCTCCCTGAGCCGCCCGCGCCGCCGTCCCTGAGCCGCCTGTGCAGCCGCCCGCGAGCCGCCAGTGAGCCGCCCGTCGCGACACCAGCGCCGCCCGAGCCGCCCGACAGCCCAGCAGCCCGAGCCGCCGGAGCCGCCCGCGCCGCCCCAGCAACCCGAGCCGCCCGAGCCGCCCGAGCCGCCCGAGCCGCGCGAGCCGCCCGAGCCGCCCCAGCCGCCCGAGCCGCCTGAGCCGCCCGAGCCGCCCGAGCCGCCCGCGCCGCCCCAGCAACCCGAGCCGCCCGAGCCGTGCCGCTGTTCCTGAGCTGTGTTCCTCTGCTGCTGACTACCCGACTCTCCCAGCCCGGTGAGACTTTCAGCTGCTGCCATGGCCACCCCCAATGTTCTTACTTTTGACGCTGAGGGGAGGGCCATTGACTTTGCCGTCTGGATTGAAGACCTGCAGCTGTACTTACTGTGTGATGCGATAGATGAGGTCTCTCTCTTTGACTTTGTCTCTGGCGCTGTCCCTGCCCCACCTGCTGATGCTGACTCTGCCGTTCGCTCCAAGTGGGCGACCCGCGATGCTGCTGCACGTCTTGCTGTGCGTCGCCACCTCCCTTCCTCTGAGCGTGCCCACTTTAGTCAGTGCAAGACCGCTCAGGCCTTGTACGACGCTGTAGTTGCACGCTACTCCTCCCCTTCCTCCGCTACCCTTAGCCGCCTCATGCTACCGTTTCTCTTCCCTGACCTCGCCTCCTTTCCCACTGTTGCTGACCTCGTTACCCACCTCCGTGCTAGTGACACCCGCTACCGCACTGCCCTTCCTGCTGAGTTCCGCGCTGCGAACCCTCCTCCCATGTACATCACTCTCTACTTTCTCGTCACCCGTCTCCCTGAGTCCCTTCGTGTCGTTAGGGACCAGTTTCTCTCTGTCTGTCCCACCACTCTCACTGTCGACCTCCTTGAGGAGTCCCTGCTAGCGGCTGAGAAGAGTATTGTCGCTGTAGGGGCCTCTCGGGGTGACCCTCGCACCCCCATCTTTGAGGGGTGTGGTCCTTCCCCCCTGCTGCCCTCTGTCGCCTCTGCCGCTGCGGCCGACCTCACTGGTTTTGAGTCGGTCGGCGCGGCGTCTGCCCCCAGCGGCAGACGCCGCTCTGGCAAGGGCAAAGGGGGCAAGGGAGCGGGTGGAGCTAGAGGGGGCGGTGGAGGAGGCGGTGGGGGTGGCGGGGGGAGTGGGGGTGGCGGTGGGGGTGGTGGCGGGAGTGGAGGTACTGGTGGCGGCGGTGGAGGCGGAGGTGGCGGCGGAGGTGGTAGCGGAGGAGGCGGTGGGAGCGGTGGGAGCGACGGTCCTGGTGGGGGAGGTGGCGGTGGAGACGGGGGTGGCGGTGGAGGCGGGGGTGGCGGTGGAGGCGGGGGTCGGAGTGGCTCGTCCCAGCGGAGCAGCTCTGGGGGTGGTCAGCGCCAGCAGCAGCAGCAGCAGCAGCAGCAGCAGCCGCAGCAGCAGCCACAGCAGCAGCAGCGCTCTCGCACCGTCCCCGGCCCTCAGCAGCTCCGTGAGTGGTACTTGCAGCGTCAGCGTGGTGGTGCGCTTGGTCCCTGCCCCTACGTTCTTCGCACAGGTGACCGTGCAGGGGAGAGGTGTGGAGGCGCCCACACAGCCCGCCGCTGCTTTGGCCGCCTGACCGACGCCTGGCGTCAGCAGTTTCCGGAGGCCGCTGAGATCCCCCGCTGGGGAGAGCTGTCTAGGGCTGGTGTAGCTATTTATGATCTTGATTTTGATGCTATTCTCTCTGCTATGTATGCTGTGACTGGTAGTGATGAGGATGACTGTTACCGGTGTTTCCCGCCCGACCCGGGCATTGGTACTGCCGCGTCAGGTACTAGTGAGGCTGCTGCTCTAGGTGCCAGTGCGTCTGTGCTCTCAGGTGCTGGTGAGTCTGCCCTCTCAGGTACTGTGTCGGCTTCGGCCTCTCACACCTTCACCCTTGACTCTGGAGCGTCTCGCTCCTTCTTTAGGGACCGCACCACTCTCACGCCGCTGAGTCGGCCGGTTGCGGTGTCCCTGGCTGACCCCTCTGGGGGGCCTGTCCTGTCTCGCTTCTCCACTGTCCTCCCGTGTCCGGCGGCCCCCTCTGGCACCCTGACTGGTCTCTACCTCCCCTCGTTCTCGACGAACTTGGTGAGTGGTGCTGACCTCCAGGATGCGGGTGTCCACCAGTTCACCCCTGCTCGTCAGCGGGTGACCCACTGCACGGAGGCGGATACAGGTCGCCACCTGGCTACGTTTACACGTCGGCCAGGGTCGAGCCTGTACACACTGACCACTGCTTCTCCTCCAGGTGCTGAGTCTGGTAGGGTCCCTTCGTCTGGTCAGGTGTTTGCTGCAGCGTCCAGGTCTGGTCCTGAGTCTGCCCCCTGCTCGTGTCGTCGTCTGTCTCACGAGACCCTCCTCTGGCACCACCGCCTTGGCCACCCCTCTCTGCTTCGGCTCAGAGGCATGGCCTCGCGAGTCCTTGTGTCTGGTCTTCCCCGGTCTCTCCCTCCCCTTCCTCCGGGCCCTGGCCCTACCTGTGTCCCCTGTGTCGAGGGGCGCCAGCGTGCTGCCCCTCACTCCTCCCAGTTTCCTCCGACAGAGGCCCCGTTGCAGACGCTTCACATGGACGTGTGGGGCCCAGCCCGCGTCCGTGGACAGGGTCAGGAGCGCTACTTCCTGCTGGTGGTTGACGACTACTCGCGTTACACCACAGTCTTCCCCTTGCGCAGCAAGGGTGAGGTCACTGAGGTGTTGATCGACTGGATCCGCGCAGCTCGTCTCCAGCTTCGGAGGAGCTTTGGCTCTGACTTCCCTGTTTTGCGTCTGCACTCGGACAGAGGCGGAGAGTTCTCCTCTGGCCTCCTGAGTGCCTACTGTCGTGCGCGAGGCATCCGTCAGACCTTCACGCTTCCGGACTCACCACAGCAGAATGGGATTGCTGAGCGCCGCATTGGCATGGTCATGGACGTCGCTCGTACGTCCATGATGCATGCGGCTGCTCCCCATTTTCTGTGGCCGTTTGCGGTCAGGTACGCTGCGCACCAGATCAACCTCCACCCCAGGGTCTCTCGACCGGAGACCTCCCCAGCCCTGCTGTGGACGGGGAAGGTTGGCGATGCGTCGGCGTTCCGGGTCTGGGGATCTCGGGCGTTTGTTCGCGACCTGTCTGCGGACAAGCTGTCCCCTCGTGCTTCTCCCTGCGTCTTCCTGGGGTTCCCCCCCGACGCCCCTGGGTGGCAGTTTTACCACCCCACCTCTCGACGTGTTCTGTCCTCCCAGGACGTCACGTTCGACGAGTCGGTACCCTACTACCGCCTCTTCCCCTACCGCACTCCGTCCCTCCCCCCACCCCCGCTCTTCTTGGTACCAGGTCCCCCCCCGGTAGTCCCCCTCCCCCCTCAGGGTCCTGCCCCTTCAGGTGTGTCCCAGGTAGACGCGGTCGAGCCTGTCGAGGTCACTGGTGACTCTGGTGCTGCTGCGGGAGCTGAGCCTGGGGGTGCGGAGTCTGGGGTGCTGAGCCTGGAGGTGCCGAGTCTGGGGGTGCTGAGCCTGGGGGTGCTGAGCCTGGGGGTGCTGTGCCTGGGGGTGCTGAGCCTGGAGGTGCCGAGTCTGGGAGTGCTGTGCCTGGGGGTGCTGAGCCTGGGGGTGCTGCGCCTGGGGGTGCTTTGCCTGTGGTTGCTGAGCCTGGGGGTGCTGTGCCTGGGGGTGCTGTGTCTAGGGGTTCTGAGCCTGGAGGTGCTGTGCCTGGGGGTGCTTCGTCTCGCCGGGAGCCACTCTCCCCACAGGAGCTGCGTGAGTGGTTTGCCAGGCGCTGGAGGCGTGCTGCTGGTGCGGTGGTTCTTCGGCTGCAGAGGGTACTGCTGCCGCGCGTCCCGCCGGTGCTCGTACTGTGGGTGCTGGAGCTGCTGGGTCTGAGGTTCTCCTGGAGCTGGTCCTGCTGAGGGTGTTGGCGCTGAGCCTGCCGTTGGCGGTCCGACTGACAGTGCTCCTGGTGCTGCGGCTGGAGGTTCTGGAGCTTCTGGTGGTGCTGCTGGAGGTGCTGCTGGAGTGGGTGCTCCTGCCGGGGCTGCTGGTGCTGTTCCTGCTGTTTCTAGCGTCGCCGCGCGGCCCCGACCGTACTTCGTTCCGCTCCTGCAGCAGGTTCTTGGTCTTACACCTCCTCCTCCTCCCTTAGAGGGTCCGCAGCCTGTCCGGTCACAGCCACAGCTACAGCCTGCCTCCCCTTTGCCTGCTCCTTCTCCCTACGCTGGTCCGACTGGAGGTCTTACTGAGCGTCGTGAGCCTGCGTCTCGTCCTGTGTCGCCTGTTCGTACTGAGCGCGCTAGTGGTCGCGGGTCGCGTCAGCGTCCTCCTCCTGTCCCTGGCACGCACCGGATGTCACTGCGTCCGTCCACTGCTCCTCTGCGTGCCCCTTTGCCTTCTCCTCCTGCTTCCTCTCTTCCTGCTCTTGCCGACCCGGAGTCGGACTCTCTTCGTGCTGCCAGTCCTACTGTCACGCGTCTCCTGGCTACTGCTGTCACTGACCCTCCTTCGAGTCGTCTGCTGCGTCTGCCCTTGTCACTGAGCTTGTCGACTTTGCTGCGCGCTGTCGTCTAGACTACGCTGCTCGTCTTGTCACTGAGTCTGAGTCCGCCTGTCCTCCGTCCGTCGGGGTGAGTGTGCCCTTGGCACGGACGTCCTTGAGGACAGGCAGGAGGAGTTCCAGTGTCTGGCCGCCGCTTCACCTCGTCTCGCGTCTGTACTGCTAGCCCCTGAGGGAGACCCGGATGCACCAGACATCCCGACTCCGCGCTCTTACGCGGAGGCGATAGAGGGTCCCTACTCCTCTCAGTGGCAGGCAGCTATGGATGCAGAGATGGCTTCCTGGAAGTCCACAGGCACCTACGTTGACGCTGTTCCCCCTCCTGGGGCGAACATCGTCAGTGGCATGTGGATTTTCAGGGTGAAGCGGCCGCCGGGTTCTCCGCCTGTCTTCAAGGCGCGTTACGTGGCTCGTGGCTTCAGTCAGCGGCAGGGGTTGACTACTTTCAGACCTTCTCCCCCACCCCGAAGATGACCACTCTTCGGGTTCTGCTGCACGTTGCTGCTCACCGTGACTACGAGCTGCACTCTCTCGACTTCAGCACAGCTTTCTTGCAGGGCAGCCTGCACGAGGAGATCTGGCTGCGTCGCCCACCTGGCTTCACTGGGTCTTTCCCTCCTGGTACCCAGTGGAGTCTCCGGCGTCCAGTCTACGGTCTCCGCCAGGCGCCACGTGAGTGGCACGACACACTGAGGACTACGCTCGCGGCACTTGGGTTTGCTCCTTCCACTGCCGACCCGTCGCTGTTTCTGCGCACCGACACCTCTCTGCCGCCGTTCTACATCCTCGTGTACGTCGACGACTTGGTCTTTGCCACAGCTGACACTGCTGGACTCGCCTACGTGAAGTCCGAGCTGCAGAAGAGACACACGTGCACTGACCTGGGTGAACTGCGCAGCTACCTTGGCTTGCAGATCACCCGGGACAGAGCACGCCGCACCATTACCCTGACTCAGTCACACATGGTGCAGCAGGTCCTTCAGCGCTTCGGCTTCACGTACTCCTCGCCTCAGGCCACTCCTCTGCCTACTCGCCACTCGCTCTCAGCTCTGCCTTCGGATGAGTCCGTAGAGTCGAGTGGCCCGTTTGCAGAGCTTGTTGGCTGCCTCATGTACCTGATGACCTGCACACGACCTGACCTCGCATACCCTCTTAGCATTCTCGCACGCTTTGTTGCTCCTGGGAGACACCGACCAGAGCACATGGCTGCAGCGAAGAGGGTGTTGCGCTACTTGTGCAGTACGTCGGGCATGGGGCTAGTGCTTGGAGGGCGCAGTCCAGTGGTCCTCACTGGGCACGCAGACGCTTCTTGGGCTGACGACCAGGCTACGCAGCGGTCGTCACAGGGTTACACCTTCAGCCTTGGTTCCGGCTCTGTCTCGTGGCGGGCTACCCGCTCGTCTTCTGTTCTCGGCTCCAGTTGTGAGGCTGAGATCTACGCTGGGGCTATGGCTGCACAGGAGTTACGCTGGCTCACCTACCTGCTGACCGACCTTGGAGAGCAGCCTCGTTCTCCTCCAGTCCTGTACGTAGACAACAAGGCCATGCTGGCCTTGTGTCGAGAGCAGCGACTGGAGCACAGAACGAAGCACATTGCTCTTCGCTACTTTCTTGCTCGTGAGCTACAGCAGCGTGGACAGCTGCGACTTGCGTACGTGGCCTCTGAGGCCAACACTGCTGATGTCTTCACCAAGGCACTTGCGCCTTGTGATCATCAGCGTTGCTGCACGCAGTTGGGTCTTGTGCCTGTCTTGCCTCACTTGCTCTCCTCTTGACCTTGCTTGTACCTTCGCATATATATACTCTTGCTCTTGCTTGCTTGACTCTTGTATACCTCTATATATGATCTTGCATGTGAACTGGCCTTGTGGCCTTTGAACTTGTGCTCGGAATGCGTGGTGACTTTGTGATCCACCCTGAGCTTTGCTTTGCTTTGCTTGACTGGTCTTGTGACCCCTTGTTCTCCCCCACTTTGCCTATGGGGGTGTGTCAGAACATATAGCTTACTTGTTTGTGTAGGCTATAGTGGGGTATCCCATAGGGGGTACAACACAATTAGGGTTTCC